CCCCTTCCTGTTTCCAAGTGATCTCATTGTTCAATTCCCACCTATGAGTGAGAACATGTGGTATTTGGTTTTCTGTTCTTGTGATAGTTTGCTGAGAATGATGGTTTCCAGCTGCATCCATGTCCCTACAAAGGACACGAACTCATCCTTTTTTATAGCTGCATAGTATTCCATGGTGTATATGTGCCACATTTTCTTAACCCAGTCTGTCACTGATGGACATTTGGGTTGATTCCAAGTCTTTGCTATTGTGAATAGTGCTGCAATAAACATACATGTGCCTGTGTCTTTATAGCAGCATGATTTATAATCTTTTGGGTATATCCCCAGTAATGGGATAGCTGGGTCAAATGGTGTTTCTAGTTCTAGATCCTTGAGGAATCACCACACCATTTTCCACAATGGTTGAACCAGTTTACAGTCCCCCAACAGTGTAAAAGTGTTCCTATTTCTCCACATCCTCTCCAGCACCTGTTGTTTCCTGATTTTTTAAAAGCATTTGCTTGTCTGTAAAGGACTTTATTTCTCCTTCACTTATGAAACTTAGTTTGGCTGGATATGAAATTCTGGGTTGAAAATTCTTTTCTTTAAGAATGTTGAATATTGGCCCCCATTTTCTTCTGGCTTGGGGAGTTTCTGCCGAGAGATCTGCTGTTAGTCTGATGGGCTTCCCTTTGTGTGTAACCCGACCTTTGTCTCTGGCTGCCCTTAACATTTTTTCCTTCATTTCAACTTTGGTGAGTCTTACTATTATGTGTCTTGCAGTTGCTCTTCTCAAGGAGTATCTTTGTGGCATTCTCTGTATTTCCTGAATTTGAATGTTGGCCTGCCTTACTAAGTTGGGGAAGTTCTCCTGGATGATATCCTGAAGAGTGTTTTCCAACTTGGTTCCATTTTCCCCGTCACTTTCAGGCACACCAATCAGACGTAGATTTGGTCTTTTCACATAATCTCATACTTATTGGGGGCTTTGTTCATTTCTTTTTACCCTTTTTTCTCCACACTTCTCTTCTCTCTTCATTTCATTCGTTTGATCTTCAATTGCTGATACTCTTTCTTCCAGTTGATCGAGTTGGTTACTGAAGCTTGTGCATTTGTCACGTATTTCTCGTGTTATGGTTTTCATCCCTATCAGTTCTTTTAAGGTCTTCTCTTCATTGATTATTCTAGTTATCCATTCATCCATTCTTTTTTCAAGGTCTTTAGTTTCTTCATATTGGTTACATAGTTCCTCCTTTATTTCTGAGAAGTTTGATCAGCTGAAGCCTTCTCTCAATTCGTCAACGTCATTCTCCGTCCAGCTTTGTTCCATTGCTGGCGAGGAGCTGCATTCCTTTGGAGGGGAGATGCACTCTGATTTTTTGAATTTCCAGCTCTTCTGCACTGCTTTTCCCCCATCTTTGTGGTTTTATCTGCCCTGGTCTTTGATGATGGTGACGTACTGATGGGGTTTTGGTGTGGGTGTCCTTTCTGTTTGTTAGTTTTCCTTCTAACAGTCAGGACCCTCAGCTGTAGGTCTGTTGGAGTTCGCTTGAGGTCCACTCCAGACCCTGTTTGCCTCGGTGTCAGCAGCAGAGGCTGCAGAAGATAGAATATTGTTGCACAGCGAGTGTTGCTCTCTGATTCTTACTCTGGAAGCTTTGTCTCAGGGGTGTACCCCACCATGTGAGGTGTGAGGTGTCGGTCTGCACCTAGTGGAGGATGTCTCCGATATAGGCTACTCAGGGGTCAGGGACCCACTTGAGCAGGCAGTCTGTCCGTTCTCAGATCTCAACCGCTGTGCTGGGAGATCCACTGCTCTCTTCAAAGCTATCAGACAGGGACATTTACCTCTGCCGAGGTTTCTGCTGCTTTTTGTTTAGCTATGCCCTGTCCCCAGAGGAGGAGTCTACAGAGGTAGGCTGGCCTTCTTGCGCTGTGGTGGGCTCCACCCAATTTGAGTTTCCAGGTGGCTTTGTTTTCCTACTTAAGCCTCAGCAATGGCGGGCACCCCTCCTCCATCCTCGCTGCCGCCTTGCAGTTAGATCTCAGACTGCTGTGCTAGCAATGAGGGAGGCTCTGTGTGCCTGGGAACCTCTGGGCCAGGTGTGGGATATAATCTCCTGGTGTGCCCTTTGCTAAGACCCTTGGTAAAGCACAGTATTTAGGGTGAGAGTTACCTGATTTTCCAGGTGTTGTGTGTCTCTGTTTCTCTTGGCTAAGAAAAGGGATTCCCTTCCCCCTTGAGCTTCCCAAGTTAGGTGATGCCACGCTCTGCTTCAGCTCTTGCTGGTCGGGCTGCACCAGCTGACCAGCACTGATTGTCTGGCACTCCCCAGTGAGATGAACCTGGTACCTCAGTTGAAAATGCAGAAATCACCCATCTTTTGTGTCACTCACGCTAGGAGCTGGAGGCCGGAGCTGTTCCTATTCGGCCATCTTGGGCGCACCCTTCCCCGTAATTTTGGTTCTTAGATTTAAGTCTTGAATACATTTTGATTTTATTTTTGTACACAGTGAAAGATAATGATCAAGTTTTATTCTTCTGCATATAGTTACTGAATTGCCAGCACCATCTATTGAAGAGACTGTTCTTTCTCTGTTGTGCATTCTTGGTGCCTTTGTTGAAAATGAATTGGTGTAAATGCATGTATTTGTATCTGGGTTCTTTATTCTGTTCCATTGGTCTAGGTGTTTGATTTTATGCCAATACCATGGTGATTTGGTTACTATAGCTCTGTAGTATAACTTGAAGTCAGATAATGTTATGCATTTGGCTTTGTTCTTTTTGCTCAGAATTGCTGACCACATGTTAAGTCATGAGACAAGTCTTAACAAATTTAAGAAGACTGACATCACTCCAAGTATATTTTCTGACCACATTAGATTGAAGCTAGAAGTTAATATTAAAAGAAAGTGGAAAAACTTAAAAAATACATGAAAATTAATAATAACACACAATTGAACAACAATTGGGCTAAACAACAAATCATAAGGGAAATTAGGAAAAACCTTAAGACAAACAAAAAATGAAAAAAAGATGACATATGGAAAAAACAGTACTAAAGGGAAATTTATAGTAATAAATTCTTACATTAAAAAAGAATAAAGATTTCAAATAGACATTGTAACTTTACACCTCAAGAAACTAGAAGAAATTGAACAAACAAACCCCAAGTTTGCAGTAGGAAGTTATGAAGATTAAAGCACAAACATGATAGAGAATAGAAAAATAATAGATAACAAGGAAATTAAGAGTTGAGTTTTCCAAAAGATAAAAAAAATGGACAAACTCTTAGGTAAAATAGCAAGAAAAAAAGAAAAGACTCAAAATCAGAAATGAAGGAGCAGATATTACAACTAATGTCACAGAAATTTTTTAAGAAGATATTGTGGTTTATATTTATATGCCAGCACATTGGATAACCTAGAAGAAATTGATAGATTCCTAGAGTGATATAACCTGCCAAGACTTAATCAAGAATAAATAGCCTGAAGAGAACAACAACAAATAAAGAGATTAAATCAGTAAACAAAACTTTCTAGCAAAGAAAATCTCAGGACCACCAGGGGGCTTCACAAATGAATTCTGTTAAACATTTACAGGAGAATTAAACAAGAAAATAAAATTGCAGGCTAATATATCTACAAACATGCATGCAAAAATTTACAGCAAGACATTAACAAACTATATTTCCCGCACATTAAAAGAATCATACACAATGACCAAATGGGATTTATTCCTGGGATGCAAGGATGGTTCAGAATACACAGATCAATTAATGTGGTATGCTAATTGAATCCTAACTCAATATGTTAGGATTAACAGAAAGCCTATATGTAAAAACTCCACAGCTAAAATTATACTCAATGGTGAAATAATGAAAGCCTTTACTTTAAGATCTATAACAATGCAAGGATACTCACTCTGTGCACTTCTATTCAACATAGTATTGGAATTCCTAGATGAAGCAATGAGGCAAAGAAAAGAAATAAAGGGCATCCAAATGGGAAAGTAGAAATGAAGTAGCCTCTAGAGTCTTTTTTTCTTGCTATTTTACCTAAGAGTTTGTCCATTTTTTTATCTTTTCTATATATTCATATATTAATATGCCATGATTATATACATAGGAAACCATAAAGGTTCCATAAAATTAGTAGAAGAAATAATGAATTCAGTAAAGTTGCAGGACACAAAAACAACACTCAAAAATCAGTTACATTTTTATACATCAAAAACAGACGATCAGGAAAGGCGATTAGTTAAACAATCCCATTTACAACAGCATCAAAAAGAATAAAATATTTAGGTTTAAAACAAACCAAGGAGGTGAAAGATTTGTACACTGAAGACTATAAAACATGAAAAAAATTAAAGGAGACAAAAAATTGAAAGATATTCCATGGATTGAAGAAATTAATATTGTTAAACTATCCCTAACACTCAAAATTATCTACAGATTCAATGCAATCCTTATCAGAATCTCCATGTTATTTTTCAAAGAAATAGAAAATAAAGAACTTACATAAAACTAAAAAAATCCAGATAATTAGAAGCAATTTTTAAAAAGAAGAACAAAGCTTTTCAAAATATAGTACAAAGGTACAGTAACCAGAATAGTATGTTACTCTCATAAAATAGAGACATAAAGCAATGGATGAAAATAGCTCAAAGATAGACTCATATATGCTGGCTCCAGCATGTCACTGGAGGGGTCACATTTGCATTAGAATTTAAGTATGCATTTTTGAAATTAATTGCATGGTAAATTTGTAGGTAAACATTTTAAGATGTCAAATTTTCTTGATGCAAATATTGAGAGCCTCACTTTATGGTTTTTTTTTTCTTTGTGTGTGTGTGTGTCTGTGCTTTAGTCTAAGAAACCAAACATTTGATATGTGAGACTGTTGCTCTAAATAAACAAAATTACACTAGATTATGGTACAAAAGTAAGCTTGATGATCACCTTCTATGAGAAAATATTTTAAAACAATCATTTAATTTTTCAAAATGATCCTAGGTGTGTGATTCCAGACAAAAGTGCGTTTGTTCACCAGGCTATAATCCTCCAAGCTGCCAAACACGTTCCAAAGGTTTTCCCATATTTCCTAAGGAAGACATGGGCAAGTATCTGTCTCTTCAAATATCCGTTTAATAAAAGTATCAAATTGCTTATGATCACTAAACAGAGTTCGATTTTGCTACTTACGAAGCAACTGATATTTGTAATGAAAAGGTAATCAGAATTCTCTCAAGAAATGGAAACCAAACATGCCATCTTAATCTTGCTCTCTTTTCTTTATAATTAACTAATTAATCAATTAATTTTTATTTTTTTATTTCAATAGGTTTTTGGGGAACAGGTGAATTTTGGTAACATGGATAAGTTCTTTAGTGGTGATTTCTGAGATTTTGGTGCAGCCATCACTCGAGCAGTGTATACTGTATGCAATGTGTAGTCTTTTATACCTCACCTACTCCCATCCTTCACCTCAATACCCCAAAGTCCATTGTATCATTTTTATGCCTTTGTGTCCTCATAGCTTAGTTCCCATTTACGAGTGAGAACATATGATATTTGGTTTTATATTCTCTAAGTGAAGAGTTACTTCATTTAGAATAACGGTCTCAAACTCCATCCAGGTTGCTGTGAATGCTATTATTTTGTTCTTCTAATGGCTGAGTAGTATTCCATGGTGTATATATATATATCACACTTTCTTTTTTTATTTTTATTTTTTATTATACTTTAAGTTCTAGGGTACATGTGCACAACATACAGGTTTGTTACATATGTATACATGTGCCATATTGGTGTGCTGAACCCATTAACTCATCATTTACATTAGGTGTATCTCCTAATGCTATCCTTCCCCCTTCCCCCAATCCCACAACAGACTCCGGTGTGTGATGTTCACCACCCTGTGTCCAAGTCTTCTCATTGTTCAATTCCCACCAATGAGTGAGAACATGTGGTGTTTGATTTTTTGTCCTTCTGATAGTTTGCTGAGAATGATGGTTTCCAGCTTCATCCATGTTCCTACAAAGGACATGAACTCATCATTTTTCATGGCTGTATAGTATTCCAGGATATCACACTTTCTTTATCCACTCATTGATTGATGGGCATTTGGGCTGGTTCTACATTTTTGCTATTGCAAATTGTGCTGCTATAAACATTTGTGTGAGTGTCTTTTTATGTAATGACTTTTATTTAATGACTTCCTCTGGGTAGATTTCCAACAGTGGGATTGCTGGATCAAATGGTAGATCTACTTTTGGTTCTTCAAGAAATTGCCATACTGTTTTTCATAGTGGTTGTACTAGTTTGCATTCCCACCAACAGCGTCAAAGCACTCCCCTTTAAGAACATCCATGCCAACATCTATTATTTTTTGATTTTTAAATTATGACCATTCTTACAGGAGTAAGGTGGTATTGCATTGTGGTTTTGATTTGCATTTCCCTGATCATTAGTGATGTTGAGCATTATTTCATGTTTGTTGGCCGTTTGCATATCTTCTTTTGAGAGTTGTCTATTCATGTCCTTAGTCCATTTTTTGATGGAATTGCTTTTTTTTCTTGCTGATTTGTTTAAGTTCCTTATAGATTGTGGATATTAGTTATTTGTCAGACGCATAGTTTGTGAAGATTTTCTCCCACTCTGTGGGTTGTCTGTTTACTCTGCTGATTATATCTTTTGCTTTGCAGAAGCTTTTAAATTTAATGAAGTCCCTTCTATTTATCTTTGTTTTTGTTGCATTTGCTTTTGGGTTCTTGCTTATGAACGCTTTGCCTAAGCCAATGTCTAGAATAGTTTTCTCATGTCATATTCTAGAATTTTTATGGTTGCAGGTTTAAATTTAAGTCTTTGATCCCTCTTGAGTTGATATTTGTATAAGATGAGAGATGAGGATTCAGTTTAATTCTTCTACATATGGCTTGCCAGTTATCCCAGTGCCATTTGTTGAATAGGGTGTCCTTTCCCCATTTTACGTTTTTGTTTGCTTTGTTGAAGATCAGTTGGCTGTACATACTTGGCTTTATTTCTGGATTCCCTATTCCATTCCTTTGGTCCCTGTGTCTATTTTTATGTCAGTACCATGCTGTTTTGGTGACTATAGCCTTATAGTCATATAGCCTTATAGTCATATAAGCCTTATAGTCATATAAGGCTATATGTCATATAAGGCTTATGACATATAAGTCATATATGTCTTATATATGTCATATAAGGCTTATAGTCATATAAGGCTATATGGCCATACCAGCCTGAATGTGCCCGATCTTGTCTTGCTCTTTTTTCTAACATTAAAATATCATACTTGAAGTTGAATACCTTTTAAAATTTCTCTTCACTGATATCATTGACTCTGTCTTTTAGAATATTTTCAACCTCTTTTCCTCAGCTTTATGACTGATCCTGTGACCTCAGCTCTAAACAAACATTTACTCTGTGTCTAGTATGTTAGTGTGTTTCTGTTATAGAAGAAATGAAATAGAAGACAAGATTTTGCTCTGAAAGCGTTTATCATTTAAATCAGAAAAATCCATCAGTTTCTGCTTAGGAGATGACAGAAGTGATGCTGGCATATTATTCTGTTTGTGCACCACAGCTTCCATTTCTGTCATTCATTCATTTATTGAGTTAGCAAATGTTTATTGAACTCTTAATATATGCCAGGTCCAGGTGCTGGTCTACACACTGGGGATGTACAGTGATAGCAAAGGACAGAATTAGGATTAGAAATCAATTCTTCTGATTTTTATGCCAGTGCCTTTTTAGTAGCATTGCGATGACCCCATTTATAAACATGATCCCCAAGGCCAAAAGCCAACAATCTACCAAAGAAAAATAGGATATACACAAATACACTGAATTCCTTTGATAATGCACCTTGTAAGAGTGCATTTTTGGATAACCATGCAATTACACAATCCCACGTTGTATATCACTGAATTTTTTTGTCCCTACTTAGAGGGTTAATATGAGAGTTTGCTGTAGTTGCTGTGAGACTTGAATACTTTTGAACTTTCCAAAACTTGGTTACCATGCTTTTAGAATGAAAGGTTATAGAGATAGCCCCAAAGATTATGATTACAATTCTATGATGATATTTTCCATGTTCCTTGAATAACAATACAAATTCAGAACATTTTAATGAATGTGTTACAACTTGAAAATAAAAGTAGATAGTTTAATTTTTAATATATTTTTTTGGATTTCTGTTTTTAGATTCTATCATGGAAAGAGCATCTGGGAAGACTGAAAACACCTGGCTTCTAGGTTTCTCCGTTGTTCTTCCTATTCTCATTGTAACAACTATAGTAGTTTTGGCAAGGAAGCATTTGAAAAAGTGGTTCATCAAGGAAGAGGAATTCCCAAGTAGCGAGTAAATTGCATTTGTGTTCTGAAGTTAAACATTAGTACCATTTGAATCTAGTTATATGTAAGACAATATCATGAGCAGCAACAATACTTTACATATCACTGGGATTTTGAGTATTACATCAATATGTCATTTAATTTTATGAGGTAGTTGTGAGTACCCCTGTTTTGAAGACACAAAGATTTGGAAGTGTAGTTTACATAGCTTGCCAAAGTCATTGAACTGTCAGTTGAGAGAGGAAGAACTCGAATATATAATATCTGTTCTTTTCTTATCGAAGGGGGATGATCTGTATCATCTACAACAGAAGTATTTATTAAAAATGCAGATTTCTGGGCCTTACTACAGACTAAATATTTTAATTCACATTGCTGGCTCATAAAAGAAATAATTTTAAAAATATTCTTTGGGTTAAATTTTCAGAAGGGAAATTTATAATTTAGATTATTACATTTTTATTTTTCAAGAAATAATTTAAACACTAAGAGAATAACATGACAAACATCCTCTTGCCCACCATGGGAAATAAACAGATGTTAATATTTTTCTTGTTTCTCTTATAAAAGAAGCCGTTGTATTTGCAGCCGCAATTTCTTCTGGTATGATCCCCTTGCCTCCCGGTAGAGGATGTCTACACTGAATGTTTGTGTATTTTACATGTTTTTAATACATGTGTCATTATCCATATCCCATAACCTACCTAGTATTGTTTTATGTATAATTTTAAATAGCTATACTTTCTCTGCAGATGCATTTCCTTATCAATTTTGGTTTGTTTGTTTTGTCTTTTTTGTTTTTCTTTTTCATGAGCAGTCCGCTCAGAGTTGTTTTTATTTTATTAGTAATTTGAAATATGTAACTTTCAGTTTCATTGAGGTCTCTATTTCTATTGTTTTTTATATCAAGTTTTGCTCTTTTTCCTCCTTTCTGGTCTTTTTACCTTTGCTCTGTTGTGACTCTAGATTTCTTGATTTTAATGCTTTCTTTATTAATTTTCAGCCTTTCTTATTTTCTAAAATAAGAAATACTTTAATAGCAAAAATTTTCTCCTTGTATCTGTCATTTTCTTTATACTCTCTGGTTTTTAAATGATAGTCGACATTCAGTTAAAAAATTTGAAAAATCTAGCAGGATTTCTTGTTTAAATAATGAATCAATTGTGGTCTTTAGTTTTCAATTATGTGATTTATTTTCATTGTTTTAAAAATAATTTTCTAATTTTATTAGCTTATTTTGAGAAACTTGTCTGTGTGATTTAGACTCTTCAATGTTGGAACAAAAAATGAAGTAAATTTTTAGAAATGTGTAAGCTTGATATGCGTCCTCCAATGTTTTTAGGACAAACTTTTAAATTGTGATGTTTCAAACCATTTTTATACATACTGTTTTTTTTTTCTTTCCTGTCTGTTTGATACTTTGTCTTCTGTGAGAGGCAAACTAAAATTTTCAGTGGATCGTAGCTTTCCCTCTGATTGTTGAAACTTTCGCTTTAGATATTCCGAGGCAGTGACTAAATGCATAATGTTTATTTTAGTTAAATTTTCTTTTCCTTTAATCATTATTTATCGTATGTTAAATACAATTTTCACTGTTTTAGATTGCTATATCAACTTTCTCTTTAAAAATGACGTTTACTTGGTACATCTTTTTTTTTTTTTTTTTTTTTTTTCTCAATCTGTCTTTGCATTTAGCTGGTATAAACAGTCTTTATATGAAATGCACTAGTGGAGTTTGTTATGCTCATATGCTTAATCCATGATGACATATGTTTAGGCTGAAATTTGCCGTCCTATTTTTTTCCTGTTTACCATGCTTTTTTGGTATTTTTTTTTCTTTTTCTATAATCTATTTTCTTTGTTTCACTTTTCTTTCTTTCTTTTTTTTTTTTCTTGAGATGAAACTTCGCTCTTGTTACCCAGGCTGGAGTGCAAAGGTGCGATCTCAGCTCACTGCAACCTTAGCTCCCCAGGTTCAAGTGATTCTCCTGCCCCAGCCTCCCAAGAAGCTGGTATTACAGGCATACACCACCACGCCTGGCTAATTTTTTGTATTTTTAGTAGACACAGGGTTTCTTCATGTCGACCAGGCTGTTCTCGAATCATTTCATTTTTCTGTTCTCTTTCTTTTCCTTAACTATTTGGACATTTTTGTATTCTGTTTTTGTTTTAGTGATTTTCTTTAAATTTTAGTATTTGTAGTTAATGTTATATAATGTCTAAATTTAATCATTACATATAGTCTTCTTGGAAATAACCCAAGGACTTCAGTCACTTAACTCCTTCCATTTTCAATGCTTGTTATTTGACTTTCAAATTTCTCCCAATAAGTCAGTGTTATTTTTGTTATTATCATCTTTATGTTTAGTCAGTGAATACTAGGATTTTCCAGTGTATTTCCCGGTCTTACTCACCATTTCTTTTCTAAAATTGTTTTGTTTTGAAATAATTTATGGACAAAAAGTTGCGAAAATTGCGTAGGGCTCTCATGTACTCTTTGCCTAGCTTTTTCCAATCATAACATCTTACATGAACACTGCATTTCCACAGCCAGTATAATGGTATTGGTACAATACTTTTAATACAACTAAAGATCTTATTCAGATTTGCTAGTGTTTGTATGCATTCACTTATGTGTGTGTATACTATTAGCACATTTTATCATGTGATTTGTTTACCAACACCACAATCATAATTCCTTTTGGAATCCTACTTTTTCATTCTAGGTTCAATTATCTTTTTTCCCTTAGATTTATTGCGGTATGATTGACAAACAAAAATTGATGATTTGCCTGATATATGTATATGCTGTAAAATGATTATCACAATTACTATAATTAACACATCTATCACCTCATATAATTACTTCTTTTTATGTGTGTAGTGAGAACACTTAAGATCTATTCCCTTAGCAAATGTCAAGCTTTTTAGATATAAGGTCATATCATCTGAAAACAGAGACAACTTCTTCCTTTTCAATTTGGATGTCCTTTTTTTCTTATTTCTTGCCTAATTCCTGTGGCTAGGGCTTCTAGTACTACACTGAATAGAAATGGCGAGAGGGGCTTCTTGTTTTATTCTTGATCTTAGACCAAAACTTTTATTGATAGCTTTTCCCTGTTAAGTTTAATGTAGCTGTGGGCTTGTAATACAGGTCTTTTGTTATGTTGAGGTGTATTTCTTCTATGATGAACTGTTGCGAGTTTTAATTAAATATGTTGAATTTTGTTTCCTGTAACTATCGAGTGTATTTTCAGCCATCCTTGCATCACAAATATATATCCCACTTGATCATGGTATATGATCCTTATAATGTTCTAATGTGTCTTTGTTCTCTGTCCCCTTAATGTTAAACCTCTGCTGCACTGGAGAGGCCAAAGTATTCCCAGTCTGCTGGCAACAACCCTCCAATGGGGGCTGCCAGCAAAAGCACTGGGGTGGGCCAGTGGTGGGTCCATGTATATGTGCATGCAGGCAGGGTAGGTGGGGGTTCCCCCATTTGTGCATGCTGGCAGGGTGGTGAGGGTTCTGTGTGCCCACGCGCACTGGTAAGGAGGTAGAGAGAGGCTGTGCTGGTGGCGAAAGGCTGCAGGCTGGTATCCCAGACTGTTACTAATCTGCTTCTGTCACTACAGTTTACGGTTCTTTTCTAGAATTTTATATAAATGAAATCATATCATATGATTGTATGTACTTTGTATGGATTATTTACATCACTATAATTATTTTGATATTTATCCATGCTTTTGTGTGTGTCAACAGTTTGTTCCTTTTTATTGCTGAGAATTACTCAGCTGTATGAATCTACCTTAATTTTAAAAATCTATTTATCTGTTGATGAATATTTGGGTTATTTTCAGTTTATAGGTGTTATAAATGAAGCTGTTGTGAACCGCTGGAAACAAATGCTCGGTGCCACAAAGAGGAACCAGCACTGAGACAAAGGATCTCTCTCAGCAAGGCAAATTTACTTCTGCAAAAGGGTGCTTCTCATAGGTCTGGTTGCCATGAGAGCACCCTGAACAAAGGAAAGCAGGGGTTTTTATTTCTAATGCAGCTTGTCCCTACCACTGTGTCCTGCCTCCATTGGCTGGACTTGGACTGCACAATTTAAGCTGAACCCGGTTGACTAACTTGAAAGGTGCAGGAATGCGGTTACACTGATGGAAAGGTAGGAAGATCAGTTTCAGCAGGAGTAGCCATTGCAATGGGAGAGGTAATTTACAGAGTGGGTAGCAGATGTGGAATGTGGGCTGTATAGATAAGGACTGGCAGGAAGGTTGTTTACCAGGGCAGGGGGACACAGTGAGTAAAGAAGTCTGGCCTTGAAAGCAGGGAACAAAAAACAAGCAAACTTAAGCAAACTAAACCTTTGAAGAAGAATTTCTTACTATATTTAACATGAACTTTCAGGTACAAGTTGCTATGTGAATATATGCTTTCCTTCTCTTGTTTAATGCCCAGGAATAGAATAATTGGGTAATAAAATAAGTGTATGTTTAAATTCTAAAGGAAGAGCTATGTTTTCCAAAGTGGTTTTGGCATCTTGTATTTCAGCCACTAGTGTATGAGAGTTTTAGTTTCTCCACATCCTTGTCAATACGTGGTCTCATTTTTTTTTAACATTACCAATTCTGATATTGTGTAGTGGTATCTCATTATAATTTTAATTTGAATTTCTCTAATGGTTAATCATGTTGACACTTGTTTCATCTGGTTATTTGCCATCTGTATACCTTCTTTGGAGAAATGTCTATTCAAATTATGGGCTATTTTCCTTTTTATCGTATTTTTCTAATCTTTTGATCTTTTTTAAAATGGGTTTGTTGTATTTTGAGTGTTCTGAATATAAGTCCATCATTATATATGTAATTTGCAAACATGTTATCTCGGTCTAAGGCTTGTCTTTTAATACTTTTAACAATCTTTTAAACAGCAAATGTTTTAAATGTTTAGTAAAACCAATGTATCAATTTCTTTTTTTATAGATCACAATTTTGGTGCTGTAGCTAAGAAATAATTGCCTAACCCAAGTTCACAGATTTTCTCCTGTGATTTCTTCTAAAAGTTTCAGTTTTAGGTTTTGCCTTTAGATCTATATCTAATTTGAATTAATTTTTATATATGTTAAGAAATATGGAAATAGTGTATTTTGCCCAAAAATTTTAAATTATTCTTACACCATTGATTTTAAACTTTGTTAAGAAGGATCAGAATAGTCAGCCATAAAAAGACAGTACCATTCTGAGTAACTCTATCCATCTTACTCTGAATGACCATATATTCAACTCAGGTAGTAGGAACTCAAACTATTCCTGTCCTTCTGTGAGCACAAGAAACTATTCCCTTTGTTCATTTTGGATAAATGGTTTTACTCTGGCTCGGGTAGTTCCCTCACTGGCAAGCGTTCATCAGTTCTCTGCAGAAGATGCAAGGGGTTGGGGGGTTGGTCCTCCGCCAATCTCAGGATTCCTTCTAAACATTTTCTTTTTTTCTGTGGTATTCTGCCCTGTGAACCCTAGCTTCCTTGCCCTTCCTAGGACCCCAATTCTCTCACCTCAAGCAGAGAGACTACTGAGATTTGCCTCAGTTTCCCTCACTGCACTACAGCTTGAAAACTCTCCCTAGACAATAAGAAGACTCAATCACAGAACTCACCTTGTTTCCTTCTCTCAAAGTTCACTGTACTGCACTGTCTAGTAGCCAATGTGTGAAATCAATTGTTTCATACATTTTGTTTGTATTTTTGGACCTTCTGGCAGGAGGGTAAATTTAGTCTTACTCCATCTTGGCCAGAATTAGAAGTATGCTTTTAGTATTTGCAACTTTCACATATTTTTAATCTCTGCATCTCACATTCTGATTAATTTTCTTAGCTCACTCTTTCATTTCTCTACTTTTTCTTTCCTGTCTGTCCTGGTTTAGACTTATGGATTCCATTCCTGCAAAGATCTCTATGAGGAGTCTAAATATTCCCAGATTAAAGCGTTTTTTAAGCAAATCATTTGTAGCACTTGCTGCATGAATTCATGTGTTAGTGTAGTGTTGACATTAACTCTTAGTGGTTTGTAATGATAGACTCTTTTATTGTCAGTGTCTTTGATGTTTCCCATGAGAATTCTGTGTGTGCTGTATTATGAAGACATATATGTAGGTTGTTGTATTAGTCCGTTTTCATACTGCTATACAGAACTGCCCAAGACTGGGTAATTTATAAAAGAAAGAGGTTTAATTGACTCACAGTTTAGCATGACTGGGAAGGCCTCAGGAAACCTACAATCATGGCAGAAGGCGAAGGGGAAGCAAGGCACCTTCTTCACAAGGCGGCAGGAGGGAGAAGTGCCAAGCAGAGGGGGAAGAACCTCTTATAAAACCGTCAGATCTCATGAAAACTCACTCACTATCACGAGAAAGGCATGGGGGAAACTACTACCAAGATTCAATTGCTTCCACCTGGTCTCTCTCGATGCGTGGGGATTATGGGGATTAGAATTTAAGGTAAGATTTGGGTGGGGACACGAAGCGTAACCATACCAGTTGTTTAGTTTTTTCTTTCTTAAAGAAAAAATATTTTTAAAAATTTACCATGCATGGTGTTCAAGAATTTGTGGGGGTGTGAACTGGGGTCCTAAAACTGCACTTTTTGGACACTTGGGAGTCCTACTTCTCTTCTTGATGCATTTTTTCTCTCTGTTTATGCATATTTCCCTCTTGCATTCCAAAAGTCACTGGTCAGAAATTTTATTATTCCTGTTTCATTGGTCCGTTCTGGCTCCTGGTTTAGTTAAAGAGTTCACTTACAGCATCTCTGCATCCAAAGGCCTGGGGCTTTAGCTCCTTCTAAGTCAGTGCTATTAAAACTCTGGCCTCAGAGGTAGTCTTTTCTTTAAAAATGAAGAAAAACCCAAAAGTTGGATTTTGAAGGTCAGGATCAGACATTTAAGGTCACATCTATATTCTGTGTTTAGAAGGGATCAGAAAAAGCAAATTTGGGTGTTTTTGATACTCTCCTCATTGCAGGATTTGAAATGTGCTCTTCTCATTGATGAGGTATATGAGTAAATGAAAATGTTATTTATTTCCATCTGTGTTCATTGACCTTTGGACAATATTTTAATTAGTCTTATAAGGAGAAAATACTGATTATAAAATGGACCGATTTTCATTCATGAAGTTGGCAAGTTTTCTTAGTACTAACGTGAGACATTTTCAATTTTGTTTTTTAGATCTAAATCGGAAGGTAGCACTCAGACATATGCCAGCCAGTAAGTAGATTAGAAGGTGTTTTTAAGATACATGTTGAAAATTAAGAATTAACTGATAATTCACAATTTATTTCTTAATTTTTTTTGAACATCAATTGGTAAAGCAATGCACTGAAATCCAGACTGCTAATATATAGTCTAATTTAGTTTCTAATAAATTAGTCCTTTCTTCATTTAATGAATGTTTACTGGAAGTCTCTTCTGAGGAAACAAGGAATAAAATAGCTGATGCTAAAATGAGATAGGACATGTATAATTAGTAAAGAAAAAGAATTTAAAGAATTTATAGTGCTTAGAAGTTACCCAGCTTGTGTTATAGAGCCATGTGCTGCATAATAATGTTTTGGTAAATGATAAACCACATGTATGATGGTGGTTCCATAAGATTATAATGAAGGTGAAAAATTACTGTAGCCTAGTAATGTTGTAGTCAACACAACATCAGACAGCAATGCATTACTGACTTGTTTGTGGTGATGCTAGTGTAAGCAAACCTACTGTGCAAAGCAAAATATGTAGAATTCTCATGAGACAATCAATGCTACTTAACCTTACAAAAAAAAAAAAAAAAAAAAAGCCACTAACTGTGGTAATGCCAACAGCCAAAGCAATCTAAAGAAATACAGGTAATTGAAAAACCTCAAAAAAATGCTTAGGATCTGCATAGAGGTTGAAAAACAAATGGAATCCATTAAACAATAAATAAAGGAGCTGAAAAAAGATTTTCTTATTTTTAAATTATTTAGGGAAATCACTCAGAATACAACATAAACAGAATAATAACATATAAAAGACCAGTTAAGAAACAAAAGAATTCAGAGACAGAAAATTTAGAGTGGGGAAGAGTCAATATTTGAAGAAATAAGGTCTCGGACTTTTACAAAATTGAAGATGGGTAGTTAAGTGTCAGGGAATATGGAGTCCAGTTCACAGACTGTTAGAAAATAGTGAGAACTGAAGTTATAGTTAGAAAATATGAATAGGGGCTGTGTGTGTTGGGTCATGCCTGTAATCCCAGCACTTTGGGAGGCTGAGGTGTGTGGAGCACCTGAAAATTAAAAAATAAAAAAGTAGCCAGGCATGGTGGCATGAGCTTGTGATCCCGGCTACTTGGGAGGCTGAGGTGGGAGGATTGCTTTAGCTTAGGAGTTCAAGACTGCAGTGAGCCATGATCACCAGTGAGCTCCCGAAAAAAAAGAAAAAAGAAAAAAAAAAGAAATAAAATAAACATAAGTAGGATGAATAGGGACAAAATGCAATTTATTGATGATTAAAAGAACAGAACGATTAGGTCAATGTAATTGGCTCTCCCAAACCCATAATTATTGTAGAAATTTATACATCTAGATTCATGACTTCTGTCACAATCTATAAAATTCCATCCATTTGTTGTTTACCCAAGCAGTACACTAATTCAGTCATGAGTCGCTTAACACAAGGATACATTCTGAGAAATGCACTGTTAGGTGATTGTGTTATTGTGTGAACATCACAGAGTGTACTTACAAAATCCTAGATGGTATAGCCTAATACGTACCTAGGTTATATCCTATAACCTTATATATATAAGCCTGTACAGCATGTTATCATATGGAATACTGTAAGCAACTGTAACTGATTGGCTATTTATGTATTGAAACAGAAAAGGTACTGTAAAAATATGATATAAAAGATAAAAAATGATATGTCTGTATAGGACACTTACAATGAATGGAACTTGCAGGACTAGAAGTTGCTCCGGGTGAGTCAGTGAGTGGTGAGTGAATGTGCAGGCCGAGGATGTTACTGAGTCCTACTATAAACTGTATAAACACTGTGCACTTAGGCTACATTAAATTTACTTAAAAATTTATTTCTTCAATAATAAATTAACCTTACGTTTTACTATAACTTTTCAAATTGATAAACTTTTTAATTTTATAAAACTTTTTGACTTTTGTAATAACAGCTCAAAAACAAACACACTGTACAAATTTCTTTCTTTATATCTTTATCAGCTTTTTTGTCTTAATTTTTTTTTCTTTTTAAACTTTTTTGTTAAAAACTAAGACACAAACAAACACATTAGCCTTGGCCTATGCAGGGTCAAGACAACCAATATTACTGTCTTCCATCTCCACATCTTGTCCTGTGGGAGATCTTCAGAAGTGATGATAGATCTTGAGCTGTCATCATGTTATTGGCCAGGATAACAATGCCACCTTCCGGATACGTCTTGAAGGACCTGCTTGAGGTTGTTTTACAGTTAACTTTTTTTTTCTTTAAATAAGCAAAAGGAGTACACTCTAAAATAGTGATAAAAAAGGATAGTATAGGCCTGGCGTGGTGGCTCACTCCTGTAATCCCAGCACTTTGGGAGGCTAAGGCGGGCGGATCACCTGAGGTCAGGAGTTCAAAACTAGCCGAGTCAACATGGTGAAACTCTGTCTCTACTATAAATAAATAAATAAATAAATAAATAAATAAATAATAATAAAAAGTAGCCAGGCGTGGTGGCACATGCCTGTAATCCCAGCTACTCAGGAGTCTGAGGCAGGAGAATAGCTTGAGCCCGGGATGCGCAGGTTGCAGCAAGACGAGATCTCGACATTGCACTCCAGCCTGGGAGACAGTGTGAGACTCCACCTCAAAAAACAAACAAACAAACAAAACGATAGGATAGTAAACACATAAACCAAAACCAGTTATTATTATCATTATCATGTATTTTGTACTGTACATAATTGTATGTGATGTACTTTCATATGACTGGCAGCACTGTAGGTTTAGGTACTTCTGAAGTCATTCAGCCTCAGCTCCTGTTTACTCTGTGAGCTCTCAGTTTTATCATTTTTATTGGCAACAGGAGAGTCTTTCTTTGCTGTGAGCCTCAGTTGTGTATCAAATGTTTGTGTGTGTGATTTTTTTTTCAGTACTCCTCTATGCAAGGAATGGAAAGGGAAAATTGTTGTGCCAGCTCACTCTGCTAGATTGCCTAGGGGGCAGTATAGGTTAATATTGTCTTTCTTTTTTTTTTTTTTTTAACAATGAATAAAAAAACCAAAAGTTGGGGTATGAAGGTGAGAATCATTCAAAGTCAAATCTATGTTCTATGTTTAGAAATAGCTAATCTGTGTTTTTTCTGAACAAATCTATATTCTATGTTCAGAAAAAGCAAATCTGTGTTTTGTGGATACTCTCCTCATTGCAGGATTTGAAATGTGCCCTTCTTATGGATGAGGTATGGGGTAGATGAAAATGTTATTTATTTGCATCTATGTTCAGTGACCTTTGGACATCATTTTATGTATCAGTAGTTAATCTTTTAAAGAGATAATACTAATTATAAAATGGCCTGATTTTCATTCATGAAGTTGGCAAGTTTTCTTAGTGCTAACTTGAGACATCGCTTTCAATTTTTTTTTTTAGATCCATCTCAGAAGGCAGCACTCAGACATATGCCAGCCGGTAAGTAGGTTAGAAGATGTTTTTAAGATACATGTTGAAAATTAAGAATTTATTGATAATTCGCAATTTATTTCTAAATATTTTTGAACAATGTCAATTGGTAAAGCAATGCACTAAAATCCAGACTGCTAAGATACAGTCAAATTTAGTTTCTAATAAATTAGTCCTTTCTTTAATAAATGTTTACTGGAAGTCTCTTCTGAGGAAACAAGGAATAAAATAGCTGATTCTAAAATGAGATAGGATATATATAATTAGTACAGAAAAAGAATGTATAGGGCCTAGAAGTTACCCAGCTGGTGTTACAGAGCCGTGTGCTTCATAACAATGTTTTGGTAAAGGAGAAACCACATGTATGATGGTGGTTCCATAAGATTACAAGGAAGGCAAAAATTCCTATAGCCTAGTGATGTAGCTATCACAACATCAGACAGCAATGCATTACTCACTTGTTTGTGGTGATGCTGGTGTAAACAAACCTACTGTGCTTTGTGGAGGTCATGTTTTACCCTCCTGTGTTGATAAATTTTTACATTAACTGTTGCTCTGGAATTCATGGGAAGCATGGATTGGTGTCCTTATCCTATACGTGTGAAGAATTAAGACTCCTGTTTCTCTGTGTGATTTTTCCATCCAAATTCCTAAACCAGTTTAGGTGCTCAGGGTTCCCATGCCTCCTGGTGTTGATTTTTCATCTCTACTTCTGAAGCAGTTTCCCTAATGCATCTCTGTGTCTAGTGGCCACAGCTTTTACTATCCCTGCCTTTCAGGGCTTCCAGGTTTAGAGAAGGAGGTCAGCTTCATCTTTCTAGGAAGTCTCAACTCTTGATAAGCTGATGTGGCTTACGAAACTGAATTATGTACCCCCAAGCCATTCAAATTTAGTTTGTATTTACCTTTTGCATTTTCATTTCTCTCTCTCTAACTATCACTAGAAATGGCCTTTTTTCTCGTAAAGGTTTAGTGATATGTGTTGTTTTTGCACTAGTTCTCTATGTGTAGGATAGGAGGGGAAATTACCATACCTCCCCATCAGCTCAGTCTTCTTGATATTAGTGTGGATTTTGAATCACAACCTATAGCAATGTATTTATCAATGGACAGACTCTGAAGGCCAGAATCAGGCATTTAAAATGAAGCATATATTCTGTGCTGGAAAGTGAAAAAGAGAAAAACAAATCTGTTTTCTTGTTCCTCTGCTTAGTTGAAGATTTGAAATTTATACTTTTTATGGACATTGCATATGAATAAAAACTTTACTTGTTTGCATATGCTAATTTAGTAGTCTTTTGAAATTATTCGTTAGTGGTGATTCTTGGTATCAAATAATTAACACAGTTTATAAAATTATCTGACATTCATTGTGGAGGCACATTTTTGTTTAGTATTAATGAGGAAGCATTATTTTTTCGCTTTCTTTTAGAACCAGATCAGAAAGCAGCGGTCAAGCTGATACTAGCAAGTAAGTTAATTAGGAGACATTTTTAAAAGTAATAAGTATGTGTTAAAAATTGAGATGAACAAATTGATAATTAATAATGACTTGCTAACTATTAACTGAGTAGCCACAATTAGATTAGTAAAGTACTATACCTTAAAACAAGCTATTTGCTGATCTAGCAACTTGTGAGTATTTGTCTAAATAAGACAATATCTTCTTTCCTGCAGTTTAGTTAATATGTGTTGGGAGATTATTTTGGGGAAACAGAGGAAAACATTTTTGGTGAAATGTTTAGGAGCTAATTCATAAAAAGGATCTTTTTGTATTCTTTTTCTTGGAGTACACGAAGGGGAAGTTTACCTTTTTATTTGGAGATGGTACAACTAGAAACTAATATGTATGCTGATGAATAACTGAGTGAATGCTCACATAGGTCACTTGGGAAGAATTTGTTGAAAATAAAAAAGCATCACAAAGAAACAAAAATTCCACATCTTTCATAGCCTCTCAGTATTACTAGGTTCCCCTCCATTTCCTGAAAGGTGGATGTCTTTTTATAATCATCTACTAAGTCTTTACTTCCCCACGCTCAGCAATTGTGGGTTTTGGGTCCTTCTGCAGATACAAAATGCTTTGACGTTTTTACTGCTCCCTCTCTGAGTTACAGTTTTTATATACATTTATAGGGGGCTGGTGTTATTCTTTCTAGGTTCCTCCAAGTCCACTGCTGTTCCCAAATACATCCAAATCCACAGGGCAAACTCTAAGCTGCACAAGGAGGTTGTATGATTTCTTTTGTTCCAGAAGAAATTTACCTCTTCAATAAGAAAGCCTGCATTTCTCATTTCTAATCTGTCTCATTATTCTTCTTCCTTACAGTGACACTTTGGAGTCATGAGTTCGTCTTTAAAATGTTGATTTTTATTATCATGTCCATTCTTATTATTGTGACCAAGGGAGTTACCATATAGGGATCAGGCCCAGCAAGCCTCAGGAACCCTTTTCTCTTACTGTATTCTGTCATCTCAGATAATAAAGCCCATGTCTATCTTGCTCAGCATTGTATAGCTAGCACGTAGCAGAGTGCTCGGCTTGTATTATAAGTGATCAATAAATATTTGTTGAAGGAATGAATGAATGATTACCTTTGATCTTCACACAGAGGCAACCAAACAAAAACACAAACACAAAGGTACATAGAAAAATCTATATACATTTGTACACATGCATGCATGCACACACATCCATATATCCATGATGATGTTGTCGCTTCCTCCATTTCTTCTTTGCTCAATATATCATCTCTCATCTTGAAACCCTGTTAACATAATTCATCTCTCCCAGGACTCTTTACCTCCATTCAGTGAGGGGTGATAGCATCACCCATAGGAAAATGTACGTTTCAATAGACATCGTTTAATTTGGAATGTTAAACCACTGGTCTAGCCTTCTGGCTTAGCGTGCACCAGGGAATCATTTTAGAATAACTATTCATTTGAATTTTGGTAACATCATTTGACATGGTGGTTGTGCTTGAGTAATATAACATCCACCATGGTTTTACATGTCATTTATTTTTTGAGTAATCTTTAACTGGTGGGACGTCAGTGGAAAGGTTGTTGAGGCCAACGAAAGCAGAGAGGTGGAATGAATTCCAGTGAAGCAGGGTATTTCCTTGACCCCTTCAGGGGAATCATGACAGGGGTGCCTCCTTTACTCAGCCGCCTGACTCCTTATCGGAGGGAGCGCGTGGGTGAATGAGGTGGGAACTGCTGGAGTGCAGGAGTGCTGGAACCAGCCGTCCATTTCAACCCTGGCTGGGCGGGATCAAACTCCACTCACTGGAACCCACTGCGTTCTACCACTCGGGAAGGAGCATGCAGGTGCAGGAGCCAGAGCCAGCACTTTTGGGCGCTGGCAGGAGCGAACTCTGTGCACGCCCTGCAGCAGCATCCATGAGGAGTGCCTGTGACTCCCAAAACCCCAGGGGCATGTTACAGTGCTCTTTTAGCTTAGATGGCTTAAGCCTTAACAGCTCAGTAGGCCCTCTGCCTTTTCTAGTGAGGCGGCTGCTCTCTGCCAGTGAGGGCAAAGGGACAGTGTGACAGCCTTTTGAATCCACACTTGTGGCTCCCAAACTCTTGTTGCATGAATGAATTGAAAGATGATAAATATGAGGAATTTAATTGAATAATGAAAGTGGCTCTCAGCAGGAAGGGGAGCTGAAAAGGGAATGGGCAGGAAATCTTCCCCTCAAGTCCAAGCACCTTGGGCTGGACTCTTCTCTGAAGTTATGCCATCAAGCTGTCCCTCTGAAGTCTAGCCGCTTCTCTCTGACATCCAGCTGTAGTCCCCGAGAAGACATCCAGCTGCCTCTCCTCTCTGCCAGCTGAGTCTGGGGTCTTTATAGGCCCAGAACGGGCAGGGTGGGGCCGTGGGTGGTTTAGGAAAAGGCGACATTTGAGAAGGAAAACAGGGATAGAAGTTCTCTCTTTGGGCTGTGGTTTCAGGCTTTTCAGCTTGAGGGTGGCACTTTCGCCAGAGACCTACCCTTCTCTGCCTAGAATTTCTCTGCCATCTGTTCCCATCACCAGTATGGGTCACATTAGTACCACTTTAGTGTAATTATTTTAAATGTCTAAATTCTTTCAATATTTCCAGTCTTTTCCTAAGCAACCCAGAAGAATCTTTGAGAATTTATCAGCAAACTCTAAACATTACTCTCCTATGTTATTGTCATTTGGCTTTTAGCTTCTTCTAGGTTTTTACCTACAGAATCCTACCCTCCATTATTATTATTATTATTATTATTATTATTATTATCATCATTATCATTTTTATATTAAATGAATACCTGCTAGGATCTTAAAACATGTTTATCAGTGGCTTTGCTCTCACTATTTATTGTTGAATCCACTGATTTTTCATTATGGGCCTAGTTTCCTTTTTTCTCAAGTACAACCCTTTTAGTTTCAGTTTAGAGATTCTGTATTATCAACATTTTGTGTTAAATGCCTGAACATGCTTTTTTTATTCCACACTCAATTTTGAATATAGTTCAAATGGTTTCTCCTAGCTGAGAAGGACTTTTCTGCAAGTGTCTTGTAATATTCTGTTGTTGTAATGTGCCATGTACGGTCATTGATGAGACCTTAGTTGTCAGTATCATTATTTATTCCCCTCTCAATTAATGTGTTTTTTTCTAGGTGGCTTCTAAGATTTCCTTTTTTTCTTGAATGTTTTGTTATTTTATGATTATATGTTCTGATAGAATTTGTTATTATTTATCCAGCTCTGGATTCAGTATAGTATTTAGATATCAGGACTCAGGTCATTAAATCTAAAAAATTAATTCAGTCATTATGTCTTCAATTATTGACTCTTTCTCATTCTTTCTCTTTTCTCCGTTAGAAATGATTATATTTAGGAGGGTCTTCTCATTTTAACCTCCATGTTTCTTTCCTTTTTTTTTTTTTTTTTTTGAGGCGGAGTCTTGCTCCATTGCCCAGGCTGGAATGCAGTGGTGTGATCTCAGCTCACGGCAACCTCCATCTCCTGGGTTCGAGCAATTCCCTGCCTCAGCCTACCGAGTAACTGGGATTACAGGCACCTGCCACCACGCCTGGCTAATTTTTATATTTTTAGTAGAGACAGGGTTTCACCATCTTGGCCAGGCTGGTCTTGAACTCCTGACCTCATGATCCACTCGCCTCGGCCTCCCAAAGTACTGTGAATACAGGCATGAGCCACCACACCCGGCATTAACTGGGGTCTTCATGTGTTACGCCTTTCTACCTCTCTATCTGACATTGTTTCACTTCCTTATATCAGTTTCCAAATCCTCCATTTTCTTATTAGCTATTTTTTTTTGCCTCATTCCTGCCTTGATTTGTGTGGAGATCCTAAATATTTCTATTTTGAAGATTTTTATATTATCTGTTGATATTGATGTGTGAATTTTTGTTTTGCAATTTAGATTGATAAGTCCACCCTCAAGGGCAGTGATTGTTCTCATGGAAATTCTGCATGCCCTGAGTTGTAGAGGCATGCATTGGGAGGATGAGAGTATTTCAGGTTTGCTTCTCCTGGGGCATGAATGTCGTAATGTTTTCCATTACGGGTAGTGGAACTGAGCAGTTGAGGTCTGCATTGCATGGTGCAGGCCTGTGATTCCTGCATCTCTAGATAATCCTTTTCTTTTCACTTGGCTGAGAAAATTTGCTAGTTGTGTTCTGAAGTGCAGTGGTCATAGGTTTTATTATTTTCATTAAAGACTACCAGGCTTGGAAAACAGCTCCATTCCAGCTTTCTAACGTGTCAAGATCCATGCCCTCAACTCCTTCCAAGCTAGTGTTAATGAAAACCACATCTTTTAGGGTAAAAGTAATTCAGCTTTAGCTCTTGTTTTCCCTCTGAGCTTCTAATTTCTTTATTTTTTTTAAATGATAGAAGGAAAACACTTTGTGACTGTCAGTCTTAGTTATGTATATGTTTTTGTTTTCTTCAGCTTTTCTCTATGTATCTAATAGAAAGGATAAGTTTTCCTATTAGTCCAGTCTGCCAAACTGGTCAGAAGTAAATGTAAGTTTTAATTTACAAACTGCTGCAATTTGTGTATTAACAAATACAAAACTAACTTGGAGGCTGAAGGACAGGTTTAGACATTTACAGTTAAATTTATATTAACTTCAAAGTCATTTGAAAAACCTGCTATCTTGATACTCTTCTCTACTAGAGAATTTACATTTTGTACCATATGTTGCATTTGGTGTTTGAGTAAAAAAGAATGCTATTTATTTGCATGCTCCAAATATTTAAATAATTAGTTTTGGTGCTGTAAAATGGCCTGCTTTTCATTCTCAAAGTAGGCACGCTCTTAGTGTTGACTTTTAGATAGTGTTTTAAATTTATTTTTGACAATATTTAATAGATATTGTTTTTAATTTATTTTTAGATCCAAATCAGAAGATAGTACCCAAGCCTATACTAGCAGGTAAGCAAGATAGAAAGTGTTACTTATAAGTAAGTATGTTGAAAATTCAGAATGCAAAAGTTGATAATTCACAAATAATTGCTCAACATTTTTTGAGCAGCCACAATTGATAAAGTCTACACCAAACCCAACTTATTAATATTTCCCATTCTAGAACAAGCATTAAATTCCATTAATCTTTTTTCTTCAATTAACTAAATTTTTATTGATTACCTACTCTTGTGGTACATAAGAAATAAGCTAGTGGAATTTAATAAGAGAATTTATAATTACTTTGTGAAACTAAATCATAAGCTGAACATTTTGCATCCTTTATTCTGGGATACACAAAGGGGAAATAGTACTTTTGCAGGTTGCATTTACACCCACAAAAACTCAATGTGAACAACTGAGTGAATGATTATTTCCACTTAGGAAGAGTTAGGAGACAGTATTACAAACACACTAAAATTCTACATTTCCCACAGACCCTCAATGTGCCACACATGTGTTAACAAGGGTTCTCTGAACTTGTTTAGAGAAGCTTTTCGTTTCCTACACCCCACAGTTGTGGCTTTGTGATCCTTCTGAAGTTATAAAATATTTACTGCTATGTTCGTCATGGTTTCTCCATTGTAGAGTTTTCATTTTCTTGTATTGCCTAGTATTTTTCCTTATAGTGACCTCTTTGAGATACATTCAACCCACTACTATTCCAAAATATCCTTTATACACATAGGTTAAATTTTCTACACCACAACATTATTTAGTTTCTATTTTCCCCAATGAAGGCACCCCATCCATTAGGAAAGCTACAGTATTTCTGTCTCCTTTATCCTTTCTGTTGTTCTTGGATGTCTCCTAGCATAAGCACCCTTTTACAGACATCAGTTACTTTCTCTAAGTTATGTTTGGTCTCCATTCTCTGTCACTGTCTCCAAGGGAGTTGTGATAGAGTGCTCAAACACTGCAATTCTCCCAATCTTCTGCTCACCTGGAAGCATTGCTCTCCTTTTAGGCTCTGAAATCACTTGATGGTCATGTCCATGTTTATTTTCCTTACCTATTTATAGGTAGCATCTTGCAGGGTTAATGCTCAACAAATACTTGCTTAACGAATGAGTGGTTACTCTTGAAGTTCACATGTGCACATACTCTACTCTAATTACTACTCTAATTGTCCCCTTACATGATCTCTCCTCATAAAATATGCCATAATCATATCATAATCATCCTCTTTAAAAGTAATCAATTCAACTAGATTGAGGGATAGACAAGGGCATCATCTATAGGATAATATACACTGGATTTGGGGAGTATAATTTGGAATGTTAACCCGTTATTCTAACTTTGTGTTTAGCATACCCAGAAAGGTATTCTGTGATTATTCTTTCATTTAAACTTAGTAGGCTAAGCAGACATAATTGCTGTCCTTTACTGTTGTAGCATTCACTGTATTTTCTTGTATTTCTGTTCCTTTTACATTTATATTTTTAGTACTTTTGTTGCCATTGGGAAGCCAGTGGGAGATGTTGGTAGAGCCAATTCCTCGGGTAAATACAGTGAAACAATATATACATTTTTTAAAGCCAGAAATTTAATGGGTGTATATGTCAGTAGACTCATACATCTATAAATAGAAATCTTTTTATTGGTTTGGGAGATAACTAATTATATTAAATAAGAATGTTTCATGGTCAGAGTTGTAGGAAAAATCAACACTAAGTTTTGAAGATATCAAAGAGCAAAGGTAGGGAAAGGACGGGAGAAGTGAAATTATACATTATCACTGAAGACTCTCAATCATATTGTATTGTCTTCTCTGTGAATTAATCTTGATTAATTTGTCTTCGGTTCATTATTTTTCTCTCCCATTCTTTTAGTTGGGGGATTAGAAATAAGGAATCTGTGGATATAAAAATGGAAAAGACTGGATGTGGTGGCTCACATGACAAAATGCTATAATCCCAGCATTTTGGGAAGCCAAGGTGGGAGGATTGGAGTTCCTCCAATTAGAAGGTCAGGAGTTCAAGACCAGCCTGGGCAGCAAACTGAAATCCCATTTCTACAAAGAAATAGAAAAAATTGGCTAGGCATGTTGGTGCATGCTTGTAGCCTTAGATATTTGGGAGGTTGAGGCAGGAGGACATTTGAGTCCCCAGGAGGTTGAGGCTGCGGTGAGCCACTGTCATATTCCTGCCCTCTAACCTGGGTGACAAAGTGAAACTCTATCTCTAAAAAAAAGAAAATGGAAAAGAGGTAGAAATTTGGCAAATACTTCTTTTTTAGTACAACTTTGAAGGGAAAGAGGAAGAAATTGCCATAACAAATAAATACAACATAACTTTGACAGGTTGTATTGTAACAAGCTAAAAATGTTGTTTCCTTATTTACTTAGATCCAAATCACAGGAAAGTACCCAAACACAAAGCAGTAGGTAAGTATCTTAGAAGTTATTTCTTAAAAATGAATACATGTATGAAATTAAAATAAAATTCAGAATACACAATTCCTAAGTATGGATTGGGTAGATGAATTGGTTAAAGTACTGCACCAATAAATAATCTATCTTTCTTTTATTCTTTTTTTTTTGTTTGTTTTTGACAGAGTCTTGCTCTGTTGACCAGGCTGGAGTGCAGTGGTACGATCTCAGCTCACTGCAACCTCTGCCTCCTGTGTTCAAGTGATTCTCCTGCCTCAGCCTCCTGAGTAGCTGGGATTACAGGCTCGTGCCACCATGCCCACCTAATTTTTGTATTTTTAGTAGAGACGGGGTTTTGCCATGTTGGCCAGGCTGGTCTTGAACTCCTAACCTCAGGTGATCTGCCCCTACTCAGCCTCCCAAAGTGCTTGGATTACAGGCGTGAGCCATCATGTCCAGCCTAAATGACCTATGTTCAACTGACCAGTCGTTACTAATCTTGTTACTAATGAGTATTTAAATAACTTAGTTTGGTTTTTTTTGTTTTCAGTTTAGTAAAGTTCTCTTAAGTTTATTGAGAACTTGCTCTTGTTGATAGACTAGAATTAAAGAGTTGTACCTAATAAGATGGAAGATCTGTAAATTTGTTTATAAAACAAATCTGTAATTGGGACCATTTTATTCATTAGGCAGCATAGGCTAGACTGCTTCAGGTCTATGAACTTCCAAAGACCAAAAGGCCAAAATACTGTTACACACACATACACACATGCACACACACACACACAATAATTGGCTACAAGGTATGCAAAAAGGAAAATTAATGTGAATTTAAACGTCTAAAATATGTAAATACATTAACTTGTTAAATTCATGAACATTTCATTTTATATGAAATAGTTTTAATTTTTTCATTTGTAAGTACTTCTGATTAAATATGATGGTTCCTCAGAAATCAAAGAAAAGCACAAAGTAAATAAGTGGCTCGTGGTCAAATAATTTCACAGGCAAAATTGTAAACATCCTTTCAATAATTCTTTTTTTGGTGCCACATGAATTTTCCACTTGGCAGTACCCCAGCTGCTTGTACAGTGGGAGGGAGTTTGCTGTCAGTACTTTGAGCAGGTGTTTTTTGTTCTCTTCTACAGTAACTAGTGGTTCCTTCAGAAGGCAACGGATAACATCGAGAGTCTCGCTAAGAAATGAAAATTCTGTCGTTCCTTCCGTGGTCACAGCTGAAAGAAACAATAAATTGAGTGTGGATCAATTTGCATGCCAGTGTGTTCATTTTTTTTTCTTCCCTTTCCTTTACCCCCGGCGACCGCAGTTTTGCAGCTGCAGGGCCCTTAATTGAAAACAGTCCTCCAAACTCATCTCAGCTGTCCCCATCCCCACCTGACTCTGCACGAGCTCTTCCCAATTGTCTTCTCTGCAGCTCTTCCACGACTCCTGCCCCTGTGCCCCCCGCCCCATGCCACCCCCTTTGTTGTACTGCCTGGGGCCCCAGAATCTGGGCAGTGTACTGTGTTCCTCCTTCTGGTCCTTCTCATGGGATTTGGCTGACTGCACACAGGTCCAATATATCCAGATAGCTGCCCTCCTCATCCTCCCCATGACCCCGGTCTGGGCTTCTGAGGGAGGACTGTTTGTTTCAGGGATTGTAACTTCCCATCCAGGCCTTTCCCTCTACCCCCGCCCGCCCACCTTTCTCTTGTCCCTTGGCCAAGTGACCCACAAGGTCAAGCCCAGAAGACAGAGAGGCAGCTTCTGAAGGACCCTTAGGCATAGGTCTTAAAGGCAAATATGATTCCCTTATTAGAGTTTGGTATGAGGCTTGAAAAAATGATTAGAGAAAGGTTCTCTCATTTTCCATTTTCTGAAATAATCTGAAAAAATTGTTTAGATTTTCAGTTAAATGTTTGTCAAAATTCACCAGTGAAGCTCTCTGGAACTGGAGATTTTTTTGTTTTTTTTTTTTTGTTTTTTGTTTTTTTTGGCGAAGGCAAGATTTTAAATTACAGATTCAATTTATTTAATAGAGAACTATTCAAATTTTCCATTTATTGTTGGGATAGGTTTTTTTCAGACACTGTATTTTTTTTTTTTTAAGTTTATCCATTTTATTTAATGATTAGACTTGTGGCCTAATGTTGTTTATAATATTCTTTTTTATGTCTGTAGGATCTATAGTTATGTCCCCTCTTTCATTCCTTAAAATAGTAAGGTTTTTTTTCCTCTCATCAGTCTTGTGAAGAGTTTATCTACTTAATTAATTTAAGAATCTCTCCAGAACTGCTCTTGACTTTGTTATTTTTCCCTATTACATCTCTGTTTTCTATTTCATTGATTACACATTTTATTAATTTGCTTTCTTTTACCTTCTTCAGGTGAAAGTTTAGAACATTGATTTTAAATCTTCTTTTCTAATGCATTTAAAAGTATAAGTTTGTCCTATGTACATTTTTAGCTGCATTCCACATATTTTATGTTGTGTCTTCATTATATTTCAGGTCAAAATATTTTCAAATTTTTATTTTGATTTCTATTTTGAGTTATAGGTTATGTAGAAGCCTGTTTAAATCCAAATATTGGTGTTTTTTAGCTCATTTTTTCCTTATTGATTTCTCAATGGTGACTAGAGAACATATTTATGTAATCTCAATTTTTGAAATTATTTTCTTGAGTTGGTTAAGCCTATGATATACTTTGTTGAATGTTCTGTGTGTACTAAATATATACATGTGTATTTTGTAGTTGCTGAGTATATAGATGTTAATTAAGTCATTTGTTGATAGTGTTCTTGAACTCTTGTTTTTTCCTCTTGTTCTATCAATTCTTGAGAGAGACGTGTTGAAATTGCCAACTGTTGTGTTTTATTATTGTTGTTATGTTACTTGTTTTAGACATGTTAATTGCGTTTCATGTATTTTGGAGTTATATTTTAGTGCATGCATCTTTAGGACTGTTATGTTTTCCTAATGAATTGGCTCTTTATCATTATGCGATTCACGTTGTTGTCTCTAGTAATACTCTTAATTTCGAATTCTGATTTTGTGATAGTAATATTGCCATGCAGCTTTTTTTTTATTGGCAGCTTTTTAAGTTAGTCTTTTCACGGAGTATCTTTTTTCATTCTTTTACTTCCATTGCATATTTCCTTATATTTAAGATGTATCTGATGTACAGAGTATGCAGTTGGTTCTTGTATTAAAAAAAAATCCAGTCTGACAATGTTTTAAAATTGGAATGCTTAAAAGCATTCATATCTGTTTATTTTTGTTTATAATTGACACATAATTGTACATATTTATGGCATAAGTGTGATGTTTCAATATGTATGTATATTGCATAAAAAATAAAATGAGTGTATTTAGTGTATTTATCTCCTCATATATTTATCATCTCTTTACAGTAAGAACATTCAGAATCCTCTCATCTAGTTGTTTGGAAATACAGTTTGTCCTCCATATCTACAGGTTCCACATCCATGGGTTTCCAGGTTTCCATGTTTTGCCATAAATGACAGATTTCTTTTTTATGGCTGAGTACTATTCCATTATGTATATATATGACATTTTCTCTATCCTTGCATCAATTGATAAACACTAAGGTTTACTCTATATCTTGGCTATCTTGAATAGTGTTTCCATAAACAGAGGAGTGCAGGTGTCTCTTCTTCATTGACTCATTAGTTGTTCAGGAGCATTTTGATTAATTTGCATATATTTGTAAAGTTTCCTAGTTTTACACCATCATGGTCAGAAAACATTACTTGACATGATTTCAGTTGTTAGTTTGTTAAGACTTGTTTTGTGGCCTAATATATTATCTAATGTGGAGAATGTTTTATGTGCTGATAAGAATGTGTATTCTGCAGCTATTGGAGGGAATGGTCTGTGAATGTCTGTGGGGTCCAGAGTTGGTATGTTGGTCTAGAGTTACAGTTTAAATTCAATGTTTCTTTGTTGACTTTCTGTTTAGATGATCTGTCCTTTGACATAAGTAGGATTTCAAAATCCTTTACTATTAAGGTATTGCAGTCAATTTCTCCCCTTAAATTAATTAATATTTGCTTTATATATTTTGGTGCTCCAATTGTATGTGCTTATATATTTGTGATTGTATATCCTTTTGCTGAATTGACCCCTTTATTATGTAATGACCTTCTGTGTGTCCTTTTTTATGGTTTTAAATTCCAGTTCTATTTTATCTAAGTATAGCTACTCCTTCTCTCTTTTGGTTTCCATTTGCATGGAATATCTTTCTCTATCCCTTCACTTTCAGTTGTTTGTGTCCTTACCAGTGAAGTGAGTCTCTTGCAGGCAGCATATAGTTGCATCTTCTTTTTTAATCTATTCAGCCATTCTGTGTCTTTAATTGGAGAATGTAATCCATTTACATTCAAGATAAGGTCCTACTACTGCCATTTTGTCAATTTTTTCAAATGGTTTTATAGTTCCTTCCTTCCTTGCTCTCTTACAGTCCTCCTTTGTGATTGAATGATTTTCTCTAAGAGGACATTTTGGTTTCATGCTTTTTATTTTTTTGTGTATTTACTTTGTGGTTACCAGGAGGCTGAACAAAAAATCTTAGCGATATAATAAGTTATTTCAAGTTGAAAACAATTTAACTTTGATCTAAATAAAACAAAGACTGTATATTTTAACTCCACCCCCCTTACATTACATTCTGAATTTCTGATGTCACAGTTTACATCTTTTTATATTGCATGTCCCTTAACAAATTATTATAATTTTTTGATAGTTTTGACTTTTAACTTTTATACTAAATGTATAAGTGATTTACAGTCCATCATTACAGTATTAGAGTATTCTGAACTTGACTGTGTACTTATTTTACCAGTGAGTGTTATACTTTCATATGTTTTTGTGTTACTATTAGTGTCCTTTTCTTTTGACTTGAAGAACTCCCTAGGTGTTTCTTGTAAGGCATTATCTAGTGATGATACATACCCTCAGCTTTTTTTTTTGTTTGTTTGGGAAAATTTTTCACCTTCATTTCTGAAGAAAAGCTTTGCAGTATAAAGCATTAATTGACATTTTGTTTTTTTCTTCAGCACTTTGAATATATCATTCAATTCTCTCCTGGCTCATTTCTGCTGAGAAATCTGCTGATGGTCGTATTGGAACTTCTTTGTATTTAATCTGTTTTTTATCACTTGATGTTCTAGAATTTTTATTCACCTTTGATTTTTGATAGCTTAACTATTATATGTCTTGATAAATTCCTCTTTGGGTTGAATTTGATTGAGATGTCTGTGCTTCTTGCATCTGGGTATTGGTATTTTCTCTAGATTAGGGAAGTTTTCAGCCATTTTTCTTTGTATATGCATTCTGGCCCCTTTTCTCTTTATTCTCTTTCTGAAACTCCTATTGTGCAAAAGCTTGGTCCCATATGTCCATATACTTTCTTTATTCTTTTTGATCATTTGAATGGATAATTTCAAAGGCTCTGTCTTCCATCTCACTGATTTTTTCTTCTACTTGATCAATTCTGCTATTAAAAATTTGTTTTAAATTTTTCAACTCAGTCCTATTCTCTACCTCTAGGATTTCTTTTCTTTTTTTTTTTTTTAATTTGTCAATCTTGGTTTTTCCATGTTATTGTTTTCCAAATTTCATTTAATTTTTCTCTCTATATATTCTTGTAGTTCACCAAACTTCTTTATGAGTGTTACTATGAATTGGCATTCATTTCATAGCTGTTCATATTTTTGGGGTTTGTCATTGGAGCTTTATTAGTTTCTTTTAAAGGTGTTATGATTCCGTGATTTTTCGTACTTCTCTTATCCTTACATTGTTGTCTGTACCTTTGAGGAGAGATTCATGTCTTCTGGTCTTACATGTGTTCTTTGCCAGGCATAGAGCTCCACTTATTACCTAGTCTGTGATTCTGAAAGGGCTAGCCGGTTGTGACACCAGAGAGGTAAGACTTGTTGTGGGTTTTCAAGTTGCCTGGGCTGCTGGTGTTGCTCCAATATCAGAGGTGGCTACTATCTGAGCTCCAGTGACTGGTGAGACCACTGGCTGGGCTCTGCTATTAGGCAGAGCTGCTGGCCAAGTACTCTAATGGCTTCTGATCAGGCTGGTCACAAGATTTATTCCTTGGCTGGGCAATTTTGCTATTTGCTATCTGAATTTAGACAGGGCTTCAGGTGTGTTCTGAGGTTAGGTGGTGTTCCTACTCTGAAGAGGAAGGATCTGAGGCTATGGTCCCTAACTATGTGTGATTGGGGATATGCTTCCTTCTTTG